AAACTACACATTTGTATTAACAGATAGTGCCCCTCTGGATAAAGTCTGAGTGGTTCCCAGAGCAAAGAGAAGTAATAAGGTCTTTGCTAAGGAGCATAGAAAAGGGAGGGCGCTATATAGGTGTGTGTGTGTAGGTGTGTGTGTGTAGGTGTGTGTGTGTAGGTGTGTGTGTGTGTGTGTGTGTGTGTGTGTAGGTGTGTATGTGTAGGTGTGTGTGTAGGTGTAGGTGTGTGTGTGTAGGTGTGTGTGTGAGTGTGTGTGTGTCTGTGTATAGGTGTATGTGTGTGTGTGTGTAGGTGTGTTTGTGTGTGTGTAGGTGTGTTTGTGTCTGTGTAGGTGTGTGTGTGTCTGTGTCACACAGGTGTGTGTAGTTGTGTGTGTGTAGTTGTGTGTGTGTAGGTGTGTGTGTGTAGGTGTGTGTGTGTAGGTGTGTGTGTGTAGGTGTGTGTGTGTAGGTGTGTGTGTGTGTAGGTGTGTGTGTGAGTGTGTGTGTGTCTGTGTATAGGTGTATGTGTGTGTGTGTGTAGGTGTGTTTGTGTCTGTGTAGGTGTGTGTGTCTGTGTGTAGGTGTGTGTGTGTGTGTGTAGGTGTACGTGTGTGTGTGTGTGTAGGTGTATGTGTGTGTACGTGTGTGTGTGTGTGTGTGTGTGTGTGTGTGTGTGTGTGTGTGTGTGTAGGTGTGTGTGTGTGTGTGTAGGTGTGTGTGTGTGTAGGTGTGTGTGTGTAGGTGTGTGTGTGTGTGTAGGTGTGTGTGTGAGTGTGTGTGTGTCTGTGTATAGGTGTATGTGTGTGTGTGTGTGTGTAGGTGTGTTTGTGTCTGTGTAGGTGTGTGTGTGTCTGTGTGTAGGTGTGTGTGTGTGTGTGTAGGTGTACGTGTGTGTGTGTGTGTGTGTAGGTGTACGTGTGTGTACGTGTGTGTGTGTGTGTGTGTGTGTGTGTGTAGGTGTGTGTGTGTGTAGGTGTAGGTGTGTGTGTGTGTAGGTGTAGGTGTGTGTGTGTGTGTGTGTAGGTGTGTGTGTGTGTGTGTAGGTTTGTGTGTGTGTGTGTGTGTAGGTGTGTGTGTGTGTGTAGGTGTGTGTGTGTGCGTGTAGGTGTGTGTGTGTGTGTAGGTGTGTATGTGTGTGTGTAGGTGTGTAGGTGTGTGTGTAGGTGTGTATGTGTGTGTGTAGGTGTGTGTGTGTGTGTGTAGGTGTGTGTGTGTGTAGGTGTGTGTGTGTGTGTAGGTGTGTGTGTAGGTGTGTGTGTGTGTGTAGTTGTGTGTGTGTGTGTAGTTGTGTGTGTGTGTGTAGGTGTGTGTGTGTGTGTAGGTGTGTGTGTGTGTGTAGGTGTGTGTGTGTGTAGGTGTGTGTGTAGGTGTACGTGTGTGTGTGTGTGTGTGTGTGTGTGTGTGTGTGTGTGTGTGTGTGTGTGTGTGTACGTGTATATGTATGTGTATTTGTATGTGTGTGTGTGTGTGTGTGTGTGTGTGTGTGTGTGTGTGTGTGTGTGTGTGTGTGTGTGTGTGTGTGTGTGTGCGCGCACATGGTGCCTGCATGTGTGCTTGCGAGCACATGCACCAGCATGGGTGTCTGCATGCACATTTCCTCTTAGAGGAGGTTGCTATCTCTATGAGGTTTGCCCCAAAAATGGGGAAATTACAATATGTAATTAAAAGATATATAACAATAAAATAACTTTTTATCATATAACAAAATGAGTTTAGCTGGATTTAACAACTCATGCAGTCCCAAACTTCACTTCCCTTTACTCATAAGAAGATAGAGACAGGAATACATGACTGATTTGCTCAGGCAGAGGACTGACTTAATAAGTCACAAACATGAATATGTGTTTTAACCCATTGCCGCCGGGGATGGCATGTACGTACATGCCATGCCCACTGTGAGTCGACTTGTTTGATTGTTTTTACACATAGATGGCTACACTTGTACTAAGGATCCAATGAGCCAATTACGAGTACTGCCTGTCTCGCCCATTCACCTTTTTCATCGATTTACGAAAATATTTAATGTTATCCTAATTTGCTGTTAAAAATAACACTATCTATATTTATAGCACTAGTAAAAATACGTTTTTTCCCGCCAATTCAAGGAAAGGTGAAATCAGGACTAGCAGAGCCATCTATGTACAGAGATATTTCACAAAAATATAAAAAATGAGTACAGCATTTTCCCCATTTTTGGTTAATTTTCCCAGGCGGCAATGGGTTAACGTGTATTTTTGCAATGACTGTTATCTCCTTACCTGAGGCTTTGATAAAAGCAGCAGAATCAGTTGCTTCATCTGCAAGGTCTCTCACTTTTTGGATACTCTCTGCATACTGTCTACGCAGATTCTCAAAATGTTCATCTGCTGCCTTGTTTGTGGGATATGTCATGCGAATACGTCCTGCTGCAACCAACTGAGGGGTCAAGCTTTCCACCTGAAAAAATTAAAATATATATCATTAGTACAATGATAAAAAGTTTACTCTTTGAAAGATAAATAAAACCAAATAGCACTGAATATAAACATTTTCTCTTGTTATTTTGAAATTCAAAATATACAAGTTTATACTCACTTGCCCAGATGATGCTAAAAGAGCTTCTGTCAATTTCTTATTTCCACCAGAACTACCTGCAGCAACCATTAGGGCTGTTTTGGCTGCTCTATTGCTGAAATTTGCCAGGTTAGCAGCTCTGTTGTCAAAGGCTTGTTCTCGACCAGGAGTCCCTATTATACAAGGGGGAGATTTCAATAATATAATAGAATGTTACACAAGGAATCAAAAAACCTGCCAAGATATGAATATTTATACATCATTCACCTGGAAACATCAACTACCATTTCCCCCATTCCTTGATTCTTGGGTAATTTTCAAAATTTGTATTACTATTTCTATTGTTACTGCAATTATCATTCATCATTATTATTACTAATTTAGTCATTATCATCTCTATCATCATCACTTTTCATTAGCATCATCATCATTGCTGTTTACCTTGTGGCTAAGGTAACAATAAACAAATGGAAACAATGGTTCCCAAATTCAAACATATATTTCTGAAACCTTACTGGCTCTGTAGAGTTCAGATGTTTATCCTATCTTCTTTTTTCAGTATTTGTGAAAAAAGTTTCATACAAATAGTATATTCAATTACCTTTAAAACATTTCACAAACTTTAATCAGATACTTTCATTTATATATCACTTTTCAGAGACTGAAAAGTCTATTCACTCGTATTATCTTCCCCTTTTGTGTGAGGTGTAGAGTCAACCTGTTCAATGTAACAGCTCAAATGCTTTTCTATGAATCAAAATAAAATGCTTCAAATAATTGTACAAACTGATGACAAGGGGCTCACATCATGGTGGACTTGGTAATGGCTCTATGTGTCGAAGCCAATTTAGGCACAGCTCCAGGTGTTGGGTGTACCAGCCTTGTATAGAACTGCATACAATTTTTTATTTTGTAAATATGAGATTTGCAAAAATGAAGAAAATACTTTTTCTAATCCCTCAATAAAACCACATTCCATCTTGTACACAGAATATAACACAACTTATTTATTGAAATAGACCATAATGTACATCAACAGATTACTATAGATTCAATCTAACAGCTAAAATTAATATCATTCATCTTGGAATAAGCAAAAACATTAAAATCATGTATTGTATGCAAGTGCTAGTTATTTTTATAGGTAATAACTTTTGAAGATAGCTTGCTGGAACCATTTCTTTAATTTTTCTGTGTTGTGTACAATCACATAAAATGTCCATAGGTGTCACTTATATAAAGCTATATTTTGTATCTGATTGCAATATCTCTCTATATACAACTCATATTTATATCTAATGGAGAATTATACAAGTTCAACACCTTATTATAACTCCCTATGAAACAAATTACATTAGAACCCATTATCTAACTATATATTAAGAGTTGGATCTACTCTTAGTATCATCACTTTAGTTCTATCCCTGCAGGTAACATTACCAGTCATCATAATAGTATTAATAAAAAAAATTATAGTCATACAAACCAAAATTTTTTCCAAACAATCAAGAAATGGGATAAACAGACAAGTTCAAGTAGGCTAAGAATGGACTCCTATATGTATACTCTTACCTTCTGGTGCAAGAACAGAGTCAGTGAACTGCTTTAGGGGGGTTGTGATGTCAACAAAATCTTCAACAACACGGTCTACAACAGCTGTTTGAATCTTATGTTTCATTTCCTGCAGCTTTGTAGAAAGAGCCCTGAAAAAATAGGAACTTTATTCACAAATACCATTCTAACTGAAGAGTAAAATGTATTTACTCTTCAACACTGGTGTCATACAAAGTATTTGAATTTAAAACTAAATACTTATTCTTATAAATTGTTTCCTTAGGGAATTACAAAAAACAAATGACCTATATATACATTTTAACCCAAGGTTGCTGGGAAAATGCTGTCCTCATTTTAGAATTTCTTTTTAAAATGACTCTGCACATAGATGGCTCTGCTAGTGCTTAGCCACAAAGGAGTCAATTAGTAGATTTTGTGACCTTACCTAATTTCACCTTTCCATGAATTTGCAGGATCATTTTTTTTTTTACTAATGATATCAATAATGGGATTTTTTTTTTTTTTTTTTTTTTTTTTTTTTTTTTTTTTTTTTTTTTTTTACTAATGATACCAATACCAATGGAGTTATTTTTCTATAAGCATTATAATTACTATAGTGTTATTGACATCAGTAGTGGCAATACAAGATAACAAAATATTTTTGAAAATCAAGGAAAAGGGTAAACAGGTGAGACAAGTAGTACTCATAATATGCTCCTTGGTGACTTAGAGCCATCTATGTAGAGTAGAGTAGAGCCATCTATGTGTAAAAACAATTAATATAGTAAATTCAATTTTGGGTTAAGAATTTTAATCAGTCCTAGTATGACAAATTTACAAAGAAGGATTGTGGAAATGTTTTTTAATATCAAATAATGTAACTAATTATGCCATTTAAATGGTATATTAATTTGATAACATTTCTATTGCTGTACTAACAGAAATATCACAAGGTTTTTATGTTGTTATACCTGGCAATGGCTTGTGCTTGAGGACTGTCTCCTTGTCCACGTCTACACATCTCTGATAGTTGTTGAGAGAGGCCATCAACTTCATCACACAGTGCAAGGATGTCTGCCTGTGCTGGGCCAGTCAGTCCTGCTGCAACCTGAAAATTTAGGATTATATAACTTCTTCACATAGTAGTGTCAATACTCCCAAAGGCATCTTTCCTTTTCAACTTTTGGCTTTAAACTTACTTAGTTCCCTTCTCCCTAGCATTCACAATACCTCTATAATACTAGTAAAAATCCCCCAACAATTGCAAGATATTGTTTTTTTCACTGATACTATAAAAAGAATCTCTTGATCAACAGATAAACTGAGTAGTGAATGCTAAAATCTATTATATTACAGTGGGATATTCCTTTATTTATCAAATCAAGTAACATAGCTAATAGCATTCAGTATTTCTAAATAAGAATATTTTTCACATAACTGTCAAAACAGATAAAATGAAAATAGCAGCTGCTTTATAATCCTAAAAACAAATAATCTGAACTTAGAAACAGGAAGACAGTTTTAACCCAATGGTGACGGTGACAAAAAAAAAACAAAAAAACTCTACGCTCTAGCAAACAATGGGCGACGCGCCGACTTTGAGCGCGTGAGTTCGGTACATCAGCCCGAATCACTGGCTCGCTGCCGCAGCGTACAGCCGCACGCCAGCTTTTGAGCGGTTTGTTTTCACGCCTATTGGCGTCACCTGTCGGGAAGGGGTTAAACAAATCATTTCTTGACAAAAAAACATTTTCTTACCCTCTTGCCTTCCTCCACAATAAGACCAATCGCTTGTTGTCCCAATCCTTTATCATCCAATGAAGGATTATTAAGCCAACGCTGTGCCTGCTCCAGTCGTCCAGCAACGGTATGGGCTGGCTGCTGAACACCACTGCGTTCCACATTGCTTACAGCTCTTGAAATAGCACCACTCAATTCATTCAGTTTCTCTCCAATGCTTCGTGCTAAACTCTGTCCCTGTGAATTAGATTTTCACTTTAAAAGATAACACAGCAGTCACTGGACACAAAAATACTTGGGTGAGAGGAGAGAGGTAGAAGAAGAAGAGAGGGAAGGAAAGATAGAAGAGGAAGGGAGAAACCATGAAAGGGAGAGCAGGAAGAGGAAAGGAGAGGGAGAGAAGGGGTGAGGGAGAGAGGGAGAGAGGGAGGGAGGGAATAAAAATAGGAGAGGAAGAAGAGGAGAGGGGTGAGAGGGATCGATTGATTAATTTGCAAAAATCACGCCTGGTGCCGAACTACTAACTGAAAATATAAATCAAGAATAAAAACTGCAAAAAAGTTTACATCAAATGAATTTTAATATTAAGTTAAAATAATAAAATAACTGACTCGATCATATTTTTGTGAGAAGGCCAGCTTCCCCCATATAAATCAGAACCTCATGTCCAAATAGTAGGCATCTTTCTCATGCAAATTTATATTCAAAATTTTAGGGAAAGTAGGTCATGTATAATAAAGATTTAAATGCAAATCATGAGAGAATGTGACACAAGACATTTAATCTGGGAGGCAGTAGACACAGTACCACCGCTTCATCATTACAGACTGGCATCTATTTACATGCTAGGGATTGGTGACAAATGGAATGCCCCCAATGCCAGAAAAACACCAGTATGGTGTAGCATCCATATTCCAGCTTAGGGAGAATTAGGGATTTATGCAAGAGAAGGAGAGAAGGGGGAGAGAGAGGTGAGGGGAGGGGAGGGGAGTGGAGGAAAGAAGAGAGGAGAGGGAGGGGGGAGGGGGGAGGGGGGGAGCAAGAGGGAGAGAAGGGAGAGAGAGAGAGTATTTTCCATAGATGACATTTGAAATACAAATTTTCCCAGTCTTACCTGTGGTGTTGTTCCTTTCCCATCTTGCCTCAATTCACAAAGTGCATCAGTCATGGAGGATATATCTCCTGACAATTTCTTTATTGCATCACGATCAGGGGGTAAAGAGCGATCAGCAACTTTGTCTGCCTGTGCCAATATTTGCCGTAGTGATTTCTCACCAATGCCACCCCTTAAAGCTGTTGGATCCTGTTGAAAAAGTTTCAATACTGAATATTAATGCATAAACCTCAGTATCTGAAAAGAATATATAGAATTACTGATTTCCTTCACTATATATAATAATATGCAGTATTAAATCATATTTATATTTACAAGATAAATTTTGAGTCAAACCGTTTCTAATCACTTTATTGTGGAATAACAATTAAAACTGATGTGAGAAAAGCAAATGTTTTGAGTACTACTATGAGGGAGTGACTAAACTGACTAAAACAAATGAAGAAATCAAATGGTACCCTTTCTTTAGCCATCAGGAAATTGATGTACATCATGGAGATTTCAACAATTCCAATTGGCAGCAAGGGGATATCCCCTAGCTGATGTGAAAAGCATCATGACATGTACAGTGGCCACATGAGACAAGAAGCAAAAGCATCATGACATGTACAGTGGCCACAGGTGACAAGAAACTAAAAGTGATAAAATAAGAAAATCAACACAACTTACTAAAAGCCAATCATGTGCTGCTTGAGCTTTGCCATCAATGGCATTGAGGGCTTTCTTCATAACAGTCAAATTATCTGCATCCCATTCTTCTTCATCATATGTTGTTAGTTGCAGCACACGAATTATTTCATTGATCTCATCAGTCATCCTCCCTAAATTAATGAGAGAAAAATGCAAATTATGAATAGAGATATGCCAAATCCAATAAGGCCTGGTTAAAATCAATACAATCACTAGCATGGCAAAGGCTGTCTTAATTTCTAAATAATACTGTAAAAAAAAAAAATCTTTTGAGAACATGCATGCTTACAGTATGAGTAATTACAAAATTAATAATAATAACAATAATAATAATAATAATAATAATAATAATAATAATAATAATTATAATAATAATAATAATAATAATAATAATAATAATAATAAAAATAATCATAATAAATAATAATAATAATAATAATAATAATAATAAACAATAATAGATATTAATAATAATAATAATCATAATCATAATAATAATTATAATAATAATAATAATAATAATAATAATAATAATAATAATAATAACAATAATAATAAATAATAATAATAATAATAAATAATAATAATCAAAACAATAATAATAATAATCATAACAATAATATTAATAATCATAATAATAACAATAACAATAATAATAATAAAAATAATAACAATAATAATAATAATAACATTAACCATAACCATAACAATAACCTTAACCTTAAGCATAATAATAATAATAATAATAATAATAATAATAATAATAATAATAATAATAATAAATATTATAATAATAACAAAAATATTGTGGGCAGAGGTTGATTTGATTTGATAAATCTATTATGTCCAGTGGACATGACATAACACGTAACCATTTAACAGACTCATCACTCCCATATTACAATAAAACTCACCAGCTAAATAATTTCTATTTTCAGCAGCTTCCTCTATACCTTTCCCTCCTTGATGGAAAATTTGAATGAAAATTTTCATTGAGCATATGAGGATGGGAGAGAGAGTCTTCACGCCTTCTAAACAGCGCATTAGGATTTCACGATGGACTTGGTGTGTCAGCTCCTGCTGACGTCCATCCACATCACGAGAAACCTGATAATGAATAAAATTACTTAATGAAGTCATTAGTTGCAACAGTGATCTTGGAAATTCTTCCTGGTAACATTCATCCACATCTTGTGACAAATGATGCTGAACAAAATCAATTTAACTATCCATTATTTGCAACACTACAGTTTGTACTCTGAGAATCAGTCTAGAAAAGGTTATAAACACTTCCTTTCCTAACAGAACCTGACCAATTGTCCTTGTGTTGAGCCAGGTGCTCAAAATAGTAAGCTTAACCATTGTCTAACGTTTTCAATTCACTCCTCAGGTCCAATCCTTTTGCAGTTGAATAGGACTCATTGCTATGATTTCTTTCTGAACCACATGAATTTTGCTATTTTCACCATTTAACCTACTTAATCTATCAAAAAATACATTATTGCCTTGTTCAGTTATTAATAATTTATAACAACACTTTCATAGTAATCATTTAGCAATTAGTATACTTACTGGTCAAATTAATACTTACTCTTGTCAGGCAAGGAGATAAGTCCTTAACAAACTGTACCAAATCTTCCATAGTTTCAATAACTTCAGCTACAGCTAGATAGTCAAGAACTTTTTTACATTCTCGTATAATTTTGCGAACTTCTGATTCATCAAAACACAGCAGCAATGCAGATGTTCCTTGCAAAATACCTCTTGCTCCTTCAATTAGTTTTTTTCTGGAAAAATATCCATTATGCTATCAATCCTTACTATCAACATTAATGCTGTTATTATCATTTTAGGCATTATAATTATTATAATGTTATTTACATTACTATTAACACTATAAAACAAAAAGAAATTGTTTCCAAAAATCAAAGAAAAGGTAAAAAGATGAGAGAGGGAGTACTAGTTATTGACTCATTGATGACTAAGTACTAGTGGAGCTATTTATGTGTAAAGACAATTTATAAGTTAAACTCAGACTAAGCATGACACGCCTGAATATTCTTATTTTTGCCCATTTCTAATAATATAAAACTCATTATTCACCCTTTCATTCTAACAAAATACATCTCTATATATCAACCCTCCACCACCGGGAATGCCATGTACATACATGCTATATTCCTCTGATTTTAGTAATAATAACATTAACCATAACCATAACAATAACCTTAACCTTAAGCATAATAATAATAATAACAATAATAATAATAATAATAATAATACTAATAATAATAATAACAATAATAATAATAATACTAATAATAATAATAATAATATAATAATAATAATAATAATAATAATAA